TGATCCAGTCTGGCATCTCATACATCTCTGCCCACAAGAATCAGCAGAAAGCACTGGCAGAGGTCAGTCTGAGGGTTGAAGCACAGCTCTTCTGATCTTTGGTTGCTCAGCACCTTCAGGAACGAGACCAGAACCCTCCTGAGGGAGCTTAGAAGGGTGCCCCAGTACAACCATGGCATTTTGGGTGATGTCTGCTGCCAGAGCTCACTTTCTGAGAGATGGGAGATGTACTTTGCAACACACATTGCTCCTGAAAGACTTGCCAACACCAGCTTCAGGCAAGGTTTTTGTGGTTGTTAGAACATATCAAATACTCAACAGTAAAGTGTACTGGGAATGTAATAGTTAGGCTAGTGAGAGAAAGGACTGAACTGCTGTGATTTAACTTATCCAAGAAATTAACGTTCTGTAGGTGCTACAGCTGACTGTTCCAGGAAAGTTGCCAGAAAGTAATGAAAGCAAATAGGGATTTTGTGGTTTAAAAAAAAAAGAAAAGAAAAGGCAAATTCTCCACTGCCTGAGAGGGGAAATACTATCAGTTTAGAAGGGAATGACAGAAGATTTTTTTATATCTAACCTTTCAAAGCCACGAAGCATATTAGCTAAGGATGATTTAATTACGTACAAGCAACATTGCTGGCAGAGTTAAGAACTTTCACTTGGAGTTGGGGAAGTTTTATAACATAATAAACATTAAAGCTTTAAAATAAATACAGAAAAAAAGTATCTCTCAGTCACTAAGTCTCTGGAATAGACTTCAACACCATCACAACAACAACAACAAAAATCACATCCCAAATTTCCTCTGCTTTAATCAAATTACAATGAATTGTATTAATTATGTAGAGTAAATAGATAAGAATGGGTAACGCTTAAACTGGTGGAGTTAAAAGCTATATTTCACTGCTCACCAAGAGAGAATAAACTATCAGTGGTGGCAATCCAAAGAGCAGCACGGATGATTACATTTGCTTTAATTAGTTTCAAGAAATCTTGATTGAAATTAAAAACCAAAGTGCTGTGAACAAGCTGTTGTGCTAGCCTGGAAAGCAGAATGATTTCAATAGTGCTTTAAAACTGACAGGGCAGGGAGACCCTGCCAGCTGAGCGGGTCTGACAGCTTGGTGTAGACTGCAGCAGGCTTTATGCAAGCTGTAACCCAAGCAGCGCCTCACATTGAACCTCGAGTGTTACTTTAAGTGGGAAACTGGTATGAAATTGTTGACACTGAAATACATCTTAGGGTCTTGTTTTTTCACCAGATGTGCATCCAAAGGCTGTCATCATTTCTCCAGAAGAGCATATGCATCAGTTTCCTGTTCAAAGTTCTTTCTCATTTGGGTCAGAAAGTAGCATTTTATTTTTTTAGATAAGGTAAATCTGTCCATAACATACCCCAAATTCAGAGTTTTTATTTTAAAAAGTTAAAAAAGAAAAACTTGAAATATGTTACTGATGAGGTACAACAATGATCTCCAAGGGGAAGAAGCAGATGAACACAGAATGGAGACCAGTGTGATGTAGGACTTCCTTGCAAAGGGTGATCCTTAAATGAATCCTTTTCAAGGAGTTGTCGTAGGAACTAAAGACAAGCCAACACTGATTCGGTTGGAGGTGCCAAATCACAACTTGGCATGTTAAAAGCACTGACCACACAGGCGGCAAAAGCAGTGATGATAGCAGGAATGGGGCAATCCCAACGAACAGAGTATAAAGCATGCATCTGGTGGTCATGGCATTTGTGGTAATGGTTTAAGGTGTCAGACCAAGGAGCAGCACAACTGGTGATGGTATGCAATGAAGATAGCAGAAGAGGCTGGAACTAAGGACAGACATCCCACTAGCAGAGGCAAACCAAAGCCCAAGCTGAGAGCTTTGCAAACACCAAATCTGTTTTATTCTCTCCCTTTTGCATAGGAAACAAGAGTAGATAACTTAGTCAGAAAGAGAAAGTTTGTATAGCATTTTCTCAGGAAAACAGGAGCTTAAGACTTTCATAAAGCTCTGGAATGAGGTATTTATGGTCTTTAATCATGATATTCACAAGCCACCAGGAACAGTTACAGGAAAGAACAAAAAAAAAGCGTGTGGTGTTAAAGCTGTCATTGGAATGCAAATCCCTTGCCAAACTATGGAGGTAAGTCCAGTTTCAGATAAATGGAAACGGTGACATCTTGGGTGTTTCTGTATCTGTCTGGCCACTTAAAGAACTGGATCATTAGCTATGGCATTACAGAGGAGAGCTACTGTAGCATTCACTTATCAGGATAGCAGTATCTCACATCATTTAACAGTGGGATGTGTACTTTCATTATGCTGCTGTGGCAAAAGTGGAAGTGCTCATTAACTTCACAGGGAATCAGATGCTCCTGGATAAATATGCCTGTCAGAGCTCTACCAAATTATGGTATTATAAGTGGATGAACTGTCCCGGCAGATTTGCAGCAGATTTAATTTGAAATTAGTGGATATTCAAGAGAGAAGATCTTCACACGTGAAATCATGGAAAGCAAGACATAATGGTTGAAGGGACATACAGTGAAGCAGTGGGCAGGAAGGTGAACTGTGACCTGCAGCAATGATCTGCACATCCTGGAGCCACAATAACCATTTGTCGGGGGCACAGAGGAAGCAGCCTGGCAGACACACAGCAAGACCCAGAGATGGTGGAAATGAAGAACAGATCTCTTGTCTGCAGCTGCTTCCTACTGAAACAGGCAGCAGCCGATCCAGCCCAAAGTACTGGCACCTCAATATTACAACTTTCATGGACAGAGGAAGATGATTTTTTGGCATTACTCAGCTGGAATTTCTAGCTTTGAAGTGAACAATAATTGGCAGAATAACATGATTAATGTTGTTCAGTGTAATCCTTTGTGTCTTATAGATATTGCAGTGTATGAACTGGTGTGTTCAGGTTGGCAGAGGAGAATGTCACAACACGCTGCAATTAGCTGATGATTTTTAAAGCCAATTATCTAAGGAAATGCAAATGGAGGTGGAAGAAATGGAAGCATGAGTTACTTATAATACATCTTTTCATTAAATACAGCAGATAGTCTCTTGAATAGTCTCTGATACCTTTTAAAAGAGCCAGCAAAGAATTCTGGATAGTAGCTGCTGGCCTTAGTCTTTGGTCATGTGGAGATGAAACATCAAGCTCCTTTCCTGACAAGGGACACCCATGTATGATAAAGATCTTATTTTAAAATTTGTTTCAAAAGAAGAAGAAAAAAAAGGGTTTCTTGTTGTTTGATTCTTTTTTTAATAAGATGCCTGCTCCAGTGCAGTTCTGTTTGTTACAGTTTAATAAAAAGGAGAAAAAAGACACACCATCTCATGCTACTCAGAAATGTGCCCATCGAGAGCCATACAAAGAAATGGGAGGTGAAATTGTGCAGGCACATGGGACACAGGCACATTCCAACATCCTGCACTGATTTCTTTTTCAAACTTGCAGCACTGTCCTGCCCCAGAGCTGCCCAAGCCGGTGCCTGCCTGCTCCAGTAGTGTGTGTATATGTGCTTACCAAACTGTCTCATTCTTAAAGAGCAAATATTTGAGCTGTGATAGAAAATACAAACCATTTATTGAGCAGGGTGGCAGCTTGCTTCTGTTTTTCTTGGACAAATCCCACTGATTCTGGGGAAGATGACTTTCTTTTTACAACAGTATATCTATGAAGTAAATTTCTTCTGCTGACTGAATTCCACAGGAGGACTGATGAAGAACCCATCTTGCATGTTCCTATGGAAACTTGAGCACCTCACACAAGGGCAGGGGTGGAAGAAAAAAACAATTGGAATAAGCAGCTAAGGAAGTAGGGTATTTCTATGCTTTCTGATACTGCTCGTCTTCGAAGACTCACACTTCACCATGGGCTGTCTCACCCATGACTGCAAGGCGCTATCCCCAAATCCCAAGGCACAGAAGGCTTAAAAAACACCACATTGGATCTATGCTCTTTGTAGAGACCACCTAGTGCCAGACTGGATCCTATACATTCTGACACACACATGAGAATCAGTATTATTATCATTCTGGGAGTTTGGTACTTTCCTTGACTCTACTGGAAATATTTGTGAAGCTGAGTGCTCCTGCTCATGAGAAAGGATGTGAGGGCCTGGCTGCATAAGTGCACTTTTTTGAAGCTCTCTGTTTTGAGTAGAAAAACCTGGTTTGTAAGAGAACTATTTCATCTGATCCAGAGTATTAAATTGGCAAAAACTCTGTTCTCAATTGTGGCAGAAAAATGAATACATAAGATGTCAGAGGTCTGACTAAGAAGTTTACCCTAACAAAAGGAACATTCCTCATTCCTTTTGATTTAGCGATGCTTCTCTCTGACCTGGCTGAAATCGTGTTCATGTTATTATGGTCTCAGAGTCCAGGTATGCTCAGACAGTAATTAGCTAATTTTCTAGACAGTCGATTTTCAGATCATCAAAAATAATACAGATGCTGGAAAGCTGTCTTGAGGTGTGCAAAAGGCACTCATAGATTAGATACCCATTGCTGCATCTCATCCTTCCAGGAATCCCATTAGACATTAATAGCCACCCACCTGTATCTTCAAGCATTTACAACACAGTGTGCAAGTTTGTTTTTAGATCATTTCTGAAAATGAGACTTAGACATCCAGCATCCCATTTAAAAAATATATTGCCATATCTACAGCAGACAGACTAAGAAAAGCCCCACATTCTTCCTATCTCATAGATGCACACTGCATCTGCCTGCGGGTCTGCGTGATGAAATAAAGCAATCAAAAGCAACACATAATAATGATAGCTGTTTCCAGAATTGTCAGGATTCTTCAGTGCCCAGTCCAAACACCCCAAAAGCCTTTATTCAGCTATTTTTTCCCCGACACTGCACAGATTTATTACCTTTATTGACTTTCCAAATGTTTACACTTGGAACATTCATCTGTCAAAGCTGCTTGCTGCATCTGCAATCAATCTCCATGGTTTCAGTGCCCTGGACAGCAATACGAAAGCTTTGTTTTAAAGATCACCTGAACCTTTTGTTAGTTGTTGTTGCTAAGTGAGTGAAGCTGGAGTAATCTACACAGTGTGCGTAACCAAAATTATGTCAGAGAACCTGATTAGTCTTAGTTGTTGTCACAGCACTTCAGGTTTCCTAGATAGCCAAATTCTTTGCATCCTTCCTTGGATACAGTAGATTGCTGACAACAAGGACAATGCAACTTGAATTTCATTGCACCTCCAATTAGGAACAAAACATTTCAAAACAGGGAAACTGAGGCTCAGTTTGCAGAGTACTCATCAAATTCTTCTGAACTGTCAGCAGTTTACAAAAACAAACAAGCAAGCAAAACCAGGTTATTGTCTTTTACAGAGAGAAGACTGTACATTTAAAAATAAACTGGTTTGTGCACATTCATCTATATGACACACTCTGACCTGGATGTAAGGGCCAGCAGCCACCCTCTTTCCAGTGAGCCACAGAAAAATGTCTCTGTTTTCCTTCTGACATAATTCACTGGAATGAAGGTTGCTTGTTTTCTAAAGATTGTTTTCTAAATCTTGTTTTGATTTTCATCACGACCAACACTCTCTTGCATTTATACCCATTCCAAAAGCACTCAGGCAGCTCACAACCTCCTACAAATCTTATCTGAGACACCCTCTTCATGACTGGCAGTGTAAGCAATCTCAACTTATGCATGGCCCAGGTTTGGCCATCAAACTTCTGTCAGTATTACAAGGCCTTGGTTTTCTCTTGGCTGTTTCTAGCCCAAGACAAATGAGTGGTCCCAGGTAATGAGGCACAGAGCTTTGTGAACATTTTATGTCTTATGGTCTCTTCAACCTTTAATCACAGCCCAGTGTATACTGCTGTGTTTGTATCCTTCATAATCATTTTTTGCAGGCTGCCAGGTGTCTTTCTGATATAGATAAGGGTCCTCAACTACAACCACTCCACTAGACGACCAGAAGATAGACAGCATCCTTTAAAAAGCAATGACATTACCAAGTGACGCTTCCCTCCCCATTGCCAAAGGATTTGCTACCCTGGCTCTTGTTCAGCTGGTTCCTGCCTGGGTAGTTTTGAAGTGAGGTGCTCTTCCAAGTCCTCTGCAAACACGCAGCATCCTTGTGCTGCTGTATTCATTCTCTAAGAGAGATGAGTGGAGATCTACACTTGCAACAATGGCACTGCATGAAAATGTGGGTGCCAAAGTAGTCAAAATTGTTGTTCATTGTTTTGTTGTTGTTGTTTTTTAATAAATGTTTGGGGTTTTTTTAATTATTATTTTGAAGGAATTTAAAAAGAAAAAAGTTCCTGCATTTTCTCTGTTACCAATGGAGCCTTCAAGAAAACTGACTTCTCCAAGCAAGCTACCTAATCCCAAACACTCAAGTAAAAATATCCAGAAGCTTTTTCTCAAGCCCCAGGTTGACAGGCACTGACGTCACTACACTATATAGTAACACTGCAGCTACTTTTCCTTCAGAGAAGAGAAATGAAGTTGGATCTCTTCTTCCACCCACATGCTGAGGCAGGCATCTTCATGCAAAGGCAGATACACATTTAACATGGAAGCTGCTGAGGCTAGTGGTACTTCTAGTGACTAACAGTGCCAGTAGGGAACGTTCACCTTCAGGCACCAGTGCCAGAGCACTGAACCAAGTGACAGATCTGTTCCCCATATCCCTTGACTGTGTCCTGGGGCATTCAGGCAGTTGGCACAAAGAGGCTTCTACTGATGTCTGATGCTGGAAGAGTTGGGATCTGGCTGCTTTCTGGAGCTACAGGAAACTTTTTCACAGACAATCTGGCTTGACGTTAGGCTATTTGGTTGCTGGACAGACAGAGCCAAAGCAGACCAGTCCTAAATTTATAAAAACTACAGAGTTATTTCTCTCCCTGCTGCCTTCCCAGCAAAGAGTTCTATAAAACAAGCCACTAAGAGATATTAATGCCAAGAATGTAATAGGATACAAGTCCAGATTGTCTGTTTTTATGTCTGAGGAGAAGGAATTGATTTGCAACGGTGAAGATTTAGATAGGAGCTTTTGGGAAAGACTAAAAAACCACATTTTCTAAACTTCAGAGTGGCCCTTAGTTGGCAGAAGTTAGGAAATCATTTTGTTTTCAACAGTTTGTTGTTTCCTAAAGCACCTTCCCAGAAGCAGAAAGGTTGCAAGCAGTTATTCAATCCTGTCCAGCAATTCTAGACATTGATTATTATTTCATAATTTATACTGATTTTCATATGATGTCTTGGAGACTCGTACTTCTTAATCGTTCAACCTTATGCTATTCCTATCTGATCATACAAAAGCAAATGTTTCTGATTTCTTTCTAGTACTCTTGCTGATGTCAGTGCTTGAGCTGTTCCATCCCCTTTGCTTCTCTTCGGAAGGTAGCTCTTCCACAGGAGTAGCAGCAACTTCTTCAGCTTCCATTCACAGCACAGTCTCCTTGATAGGTGGTTTTGAGAACAGTTAGTCAGGCTTGAACAAATACATATTTGCTTCAGACCCCATGGGATACGTTTTCAAGGGGAATTTGTTTTGCAATGTAATTAATGTTATTAGTGTTAATGGAGCTCACATCTCTAAATCTGTGCACCTCCTGTTGTCAGCACAGCTGTATGTGCCTTACCTGGAATACATACTCAAGCAGAACCAAGATCTATTTTTTCTCTTTCAGATTTTTCAGAAGTCAGAAGCGGAGAAATCAATGACTGGCCTCAGTTCTGAGGGCTATGTCTGTGCAGAGAAACCCTTGCACGGATTGGGCCTCAGCTGGGGTAATTTGCCAGCAGCCCTGGAGGTTTCTTCCCCGAAATGGATGCTTTCCAGAGAAAGCATCACCCCATGCTTTCCCACGCTGGGAACACAGAGAAGGACAGCCCTTGACAGAGCTCTGTGTGCTGTCACCATCAGGCTTTCCTCCCCTCAGCACCATGCAGGAAAACAGCCCTGGCATGACAGCTTTGACTTTAGGCTTACTTAACAGCTTTTCAACCCAACTAATTTCTTTTCTGCTCCCTTTCGTCGCAGACAGTTCTAAGCCACAAATGCACTTCAGAAACGATCAGCATTTGACACAGCTGAAATGATACTATTGAATTAACACGCTTCTACAAACTTAAATGTTTTCCTACATTTTCTGCTAAATTCAATTCATAAATAGGTTCTTTTCTTCCAAAGCTTTCATTTTTGGGGCAAATTTACTGTTTATTTATTTATTTATTTTATAAAGCCCCTCTGGCAGCTCATTTGCTTTTATTTCACAGAGTGTGTTGCTCATTATGAGTGTAAGGAACATCACAAGTTTGATCATTTGATATTTCTTAAAATAAATACACAGAGAAGGCAGAAAACTGTAAGTAGATATTTACATAAAAAATTAAGTTTAAATACTAAGAAAAATTAGCTTGCTTAGCAAAACGACATGCCTCATAAACCCAGTATTGGATTCTTCCAGGGGGAAATATATTGGTCTATGAATACGAACCCATATGGGAAAACTTATTTGTGTGAATGCAAGAGAAAATTGTTTCTCGATTAAAATCTCTCAATTTACATATTCAAATATTCACTAATCTAAAATTTTACCTTCGGAAAAGTCTTACCAAAGCACTGGAGCAAAAACAACATTACCAAGTCAGCTGCACTCTGCATTAACCTCTGCAGAGAACATTTGTGTTAGACAAACATTGACTTGGTCTGAGAACTCAACAGCACTCATCAGGAAGAACATGCAGCGTCTTGAAACCCTGGGGCTTTCACTGTAATTTAGAATCATGCAATATCTCGAGTTGCAAGAGACCCACAAGGATAAATGAGCCCAACAACAACAAGGAGCAAATCAGCAATCAATTCACCTCCAAAGGTGTCCCCACCATGCTGAGAGTCCCACAGACACATTTTGATGTAAGCTACTGGCTCTATTTCTCTCTTTTTTTTTTTCTGCAGCTCCTGAAAGGACGCAGCGCCCATACCTCCTTTCCTCACCCCCATATCTCACATCAGGATGAAAACTGCAGAATTTACCCCGTACCTCTCACCAGAAAGCTAGCAAAGCAAGAGAAATGGTTTCCCCTATGCTTGCCCAGCCAGGAGGGAGCTGCGGGTGGAAGACAAAATCAAATGTGCTGATCAAGCATACAGATCACTCAGAGTTTGTTTTTCAACACACGCCTCTGGGATTTGGTCTGGCAAAAAGCAGTTTTGCCTTCTGAGATCTTCTGTTCGAGCTTGGAGCTATTTTCTTTGTGCAGAGAAAGTGCAAAAATAGCCCATTTGTTTGTAGCTCTGTGCCCAGCCCTTGGCAGGAGCAGAGGAAATGCTCTCAGGAGAGAGAAGCAGCTCACTGCTGTCAGCACAGGCATTTTACATGAGGGGCACGCATAAAGAAGTTAATTTGCTACAGTCTTTAAAAAGTAGGCAACTTATCACAGCTAGTGGTGCAGTAAGCACTGGGCAGGGAAGATAAATTTCTTCATTTTTTACAGAGTTAAATCTGGCTAATTAGGGCCACATTGCTGCTTGCTAGAGAGTATTTGCATTGATATCTAATATTTCCCACACATACTTATCAGAAGAAAATGTTTCAGCCTGTCTGAAATACAAGCCTTAACTTCCCCTGCTTCCCAGGAGCACCAGTTTTGAGAAATGGACCTCTTCTTAGTGCTGTGTGAAGGGCTGTGCCTCTGCAGACCTCATTTTTTGGAGTAATTTCCCCAGTGAGGTCATTTATAGAGATACCTAGGAAGGGTAGTGCAGCCCTTTCTGCTGTGGGAGTTTCATGAAGGCACATGAAAAGTAAGCAGAGGCTGGCCTCGTTTTAAGATGTTTAAATGATAAACATGTGGGACTGAAGGTCCTCTGGCAGAGTTTTAATGGATACAAATTAAGAAAGCCTGAAATTCTCTCTTTCAAGTAGTCCACAAGGACAGGAGATACTTTCCAATGCAGAGCACTAAAAAAGATAAAGGCAAAATTACAGTTTTCCTTCTGGAGTCACTAGCTGACATCTCCTTTAATTAGTGATTAACAAGAGCTATACACCTGAAGTTTGAGTTACAGCGAACCTTTCCTGAAAGGCTTAGCAGGTGACCCAGGACAGGAAGGGAGGGCTTAGGAAGAATGAAGAGAAAAAGAAAGGACAATCTCACCTGAATGATTCACTGAGCCAGAAGCCCTTGTGCTGCCTACTCCCACATCGCAGGTACAATGGAGTGTGCCACTTCCCAGCTGATCAGAGGACCTGTAAAATGGGGGTGGGTCCAGGCAGCTGGTGAGAAGGGGGTGGAGTGCTCTCATCAGTTCGAAGCAGCTGAAGGAACCGTGTTTCTGTAATTAGAGAGATGGTATCTTGATTTCATATTGTAGTAAATCCCCACAGAGGTAAATCCTCCTCATGCTGGCCTCTGCCTAGCCCTACAAGCACCCTACAAGCCCCCAAAGCAGCTCCTTGTTCTTGGATTTCTTATCATGATGGCACCGTTTGCCCTTCCGCTCTGAAAGTGGAAAGTAATTTAAGTAGCAGTGACAAGCAAAGAACCTGAGAGAGGGGATCAGGATGATGGTGGTAAGGCAAAGTCTTACACAACAGGTGCAGGCCAGAAAATCTTGTTAAATGAGTATCAACGTGCTAATTAATTGAAGGCCTTTGAAAGTGAAGTCATTAGTATCTGTCTGCTTTTGAAAATGAATGGTAGGAAAAAATAGATCTTCCAGCATGTTGCAGGTTCTGGAGATTCCAAACTCCGCTTTAGTTTAAAAATAGAACAGATAGTCAAAAAAGTTAAGATTTTAATAAAAAGCTCTCTTTCTGCAATTTTCAGCCCAACTTAGTGCTGGACAAACATGTCATTCGCAATAATGTTGATTGACATTTACTTCTAGTAATGCCAAAGCAGCAAACAGCAAAGGAGTCAGAGCACACTTGGCTTTAAAAAATGTTGAATCCAAAATATTAATGCTGCAAATGGCAAGGTCCATTAAAATGAAAATGAATGTTAATATGTCTGTAATAAAGCTAAAATGGAATTAAACAAAGTTGTGAAGCAGCACTTTATGTCACTGGGAACAAATTATCAGGAGGACTGAAATGCGTTGACATGACATTATTGGAGCAAGCTGGACAAGGTGGAAAGATTTGTTTTGACACTTATTTGTAGGTAATTTGTATGGCTTTCCTTCTGGTATATGGAGATGATCCTACTATTTCTTCAGAAGAGTATCATCTCTGTCCTATTGCTGGCCAGGACTGATCCAAGATGGTGTTCCAAACAAAGAAATCCATGATTTATGACAAATCAGCTGCACGTTTTTCAAAACATTGTGCAAATCAGAGCTCTTTCCACAGGAGGTAATTTTTTTGTTTTTGGCAACAGCACGTGTAGTTTTCCATCCTTTGGTAGATAACAAGTTCTCTAATTATTAGTAGCTTTGATAACTACAGAGTTGGGATGGACTCCCACCCAGACAAATGGTTTCCAGTCCAGAGAGAGGTCAGGGAAAACAGTGCCTTCCAAGCACAGAAGTGTATTTCTCCACAAAGCAGGCGCATGAGCTCTTGTACTCACAGCAGAGAAACGTGGTGCAAACCTCATTTCTGCAAGCAAGGCAGAGCCAGCTAAATCTCTTATTTCTTCTCCTGGGAGAGCTGTGCAAGGCAGGTGAGCTCCTCTAGCTGCAGATGTATTGCAGGTGGAAAGGGGCATTGCTCATGGAGATGGCTGACAAATGAGAAAAAAAATTTAAAAATAAAAGACAGCCAGAGAAAAGAAGTCTTAGAATCAGTAAGGTTGGAAAAGACTACTATGATTATCTAGTCCAACCATCAAAAGAAGGAGGAAGACATGAACATACTCCTTCCGCTTGAAATGAAGTGGAGCAAATGATACTCAAAGAAGAAAGACAAAAAAAACACAACCTGACAGCTGAACCTAAGAAAATGAAGAAATACATATTCTTCAAGCATACAAAGTTCTGCAATTTGTAAGAAGTCCTCAGGTAGATGAGACTTTCAGCCTTATTCTGTGCAGCCATGGTGACGAGTGAACCAGGTGTGCTTGTTTAACGATTAACAGCTGACGAGCTGACCTTCTTCTGCAGTAAGCTGGACCATATCTCCTGGGACTCAGGGTGTTACACTTATCCTGAACTGCTTAACTCCTCAGGGAAAACTCCTAAATCATATACGCTCCACCATGGAAGAAACCAGTTCAACTAGGGCTTCAAGCCTGAATAGCAGCAATGACTCCATGGCTGCACAGTTAAGTTACGTGTGGGCATGGTGGTGATGGATTGACACCTGGGCTAGATGATCTTAATGGTCTTTTCCAACCTCAGTGACTCTATAATTCACATGCCCCATAGTGATAAGCGGATTCCTGCCAAGTTTGAATCTGGCTTCAACTCCATGCAGTGTAGTGCTAGAGTTCATCACATCCAGGCTTGCAGAGTGCTTTCCTTAAGCCTGAAGGAACTGCTGAAGAAATTCTGCTTGCATAGAGTGTCTTTGGTGCAGTAAGTAGAGTCAGAAGGTGACTGCAGACCTGGTGTGGTTTAGAGCTGGAGTAATTAATAAAGTGAGTCTGGCACTGGAGTGTATCAGCAGAGCTGAGGGCAGACAAATCTCTGCTGAGCTTTCAGAGGCCATTACATCTTGGCAGCTTGCTTGGTGGGAAAATAGGTGGGAACTGATCTCTGAAAGCATGCTTCAGGAAATCTCCTCAGCTCCTCAAGTGAGCTCAGATCCCTGCTGCTTCTGCTTGGCATTTATCAACAGATTTTCCCCAGAAGCCTCCCACCTGCTCTGCTCTTTTGCAAATCTGGCCTCTGCAGGGGAGCTCAGCTCTTTCAGAAAATCTGCTATGAATGAGCTGAATGAAAGCTTGTTGACACCCATGGGAAGATCTTTGCTGGATCCAGCAAGCTCTGTTGCGTGTTGATTCATTTCTCTATTCTCAGCATGCTGGCACGGCCCTAGAGATGAAGATGAAAAACTGTCATGCACTTTGCCACTGTTATTGCACAAAGAAAATACACACAGTCTAAAGAATAATTAAAATCACACTCTCATTTCTTAACTTACTTTAACTGAGGATATCAAAGAAGAATAAATTTCACTATCAGGTTCAGCTGGAAAAGCTAAGCTGGAGGGAGGTTGCTCTTTATTCATTCACATGACTGTATCACACATAATGTCTGGCAAAAAAAAAAAGTGTTTTTACTGGGAGGGAAGTACTAACTTCAGGTGAAAAAAAAAAAAAAAGGTGGCTAATATGCCCACCATAACTTTCTAAGCAGTAAGGCTTAGAATTTGAAGAAACATTCTAATTGTTAACTTTGAAGTAATTACATCATTAAAGTTTCTGAGGAGAAGTATATTTTCAATCACATTTCAGAAGGAAAACTGGATCCCATTGCATCTGGTGCAGTGAGTGAAATGCTGTTTAACCAGTTAAAATGTGTTAAACAACTCTCCTTTACTTGTTATCAAACACAGAATTGGCCAAGCCTTCTTCTTGGGTCATTAAACACTTGGTCTTCTTCCAATAACTTGTTCTAACACACTGGTACAAACATGGAAGGTACACCGATCTCAGAATGGAGAAAGAAGTAGAAGGCTGAAAGAACAGTCTTGTCCTGGCTCTGATGAAGGCTACTGGAGCTGCTGAACTTCAAAGTAAGCTACCAACACCTGTGAAAAAGAAATTGTCTTTTCCTACTTTGACTTTTTTTCTCATTTCATTAACTTCTTTACTTCTGCTTGCCCCACGTACAAGACTTGCAGGCTCTACCTAAAATGTCACCAGGTACAACATATTAGTTTGGTGACAGAGACAAAATGCTGATTTTTTATTCACTGAGCATCTCCAAAAGAGAAAGTAATCTGGGGGAAGATTGAACGTGTGGACAATCCATTAGATGCACATCTTAAAGGAAACTGTACCAGAAACAAGAATCTGATATGTTTCTGAATACCTAGAATTGATGTGATTTTACTGAGGAAAAATTGTCCTTCATAGTTACGTATTTTGAGAAGTTTGCCTTAGACTATGGGAAATTCCATCTGGTCCAGGCTATAGTAGATCTGAGGTTCACAGAGATGAGCTGAAAGCCCTGTTTCCACAAAGTCATGACATGAAATCTGGAATAAATATTCTAAATGAAAATTAATCAGTGTTATTTTGGACAGTGGAGAACAAGATCGTGCTAATTCCAATATTTTTTTCCTTTCTTTCTCAGAAATCAAGGATGAATTAAAGTACACATCAGTGTTAGTCAGTGAGGTGCATTTGCATCTGATTTCAAGAAAAGTCCGACCAGTCTGGGACCTTTCTCTTCAAGGGTGTTGTACTGCTCCGTGTAATAAGCACATCTTTCCTCAGAAGCCGAGTTCCACAACAAAACTACAAATACATCACTGCAGGTCGATACAGATATTTTGCTTCATGGAATCAAAACACCTCTTTGACATTGATTGGTTAGGCTGCTAGAAAGCACAAGAAGTGCTTGAGAATTTTCAGCTGATATTTCTGCTTCTCTCCTCCTAGCTCCAACACGCAGAGAGTAACCCACCTCATTTCTCTTTACAGCTATCTTAGATCTATTAAAAAAACATTTAAAATCTCTGCTCAATCTCTTCTTTCCTGGGATAAGCAGTTCTCTCCTCATGTTCAGCATATTACAGATGTCCCCTCTTTCTTGCTCTTTTGCTCTGGTTTCTTTTTCAGTACTTCAACACAGTACTTGAAGCACAGCTTCAAAATGGGGCACAATGCTTGATTCAGGGCAGACCCATGGTGACCTGACCAACAGTGAAGACTTACAGAGGGCACTTCTGTTTGTTTGCATTTCTGTGAATCAACTCTGTCCTTTTTGTTGAAATGCCCCCACATCCAGCAGTCCATTCTATGCATCCCAACACCAACGTTTCACATTCATATCCGTACCCTGATGAATTCTCTTCTGTCCCCTGTGTCATACCCAGTGCAACTTAAGCAACATCATCTTATTCAACCAGGTCAGCCTGACAAATTCTGTCCCCTCATACAGCCCCAGCTCTATAAATTTGTCTGGGTCACGTCACTTAGTCATTTCTGTCATCAACATACCTTTTTACTAGAATCAGCCACACTGCTTACCCCATCTCCTTCAGTGGGTTACCCCACTTGAAGGCAAAGAGGTGTCATCACTTTGTTCTGGTATGACTTGCTTTTTCAATGAATACAAGTTGACTGCTTTTACTCCTCCAATTAGTCTTCATTAAGGACCTGTTGTGTGAGGAATAAATGGATGACAGTGTCATTCTGGGCACTGTAGCTAGA